CTCCGGTCCACTTTAAGAACCCATTGTGGCCCTCGAGTCAAAAAGTTTGCCCACCCCTGTATTAGCTCCACACCCTTGACAACATTCTTGGATAGATTCCATATCTATGAGGCCTGTTTTTAAGTATCAAAAAGGTCTCGGTGACCTCATACCCCCAAATTAGAACTAACTTGTAGAAAAGCTTGTAGAACTAACTTGTCCTATTAGAAGAGGAATAACAAACTCACTAGTCCTTCTCAGTTTCTGTATTCTTCTGCAGGGGAGTGGGAGAGAGGCAAAAGCTGACACCACCAAGACCTAGATGACCTCCATGCCCTCCTTTCTGGCAGGCCTGTAAAATGCTGGCTTAATTATGGGGTGCACCTATGTTCATAGCAGCACAATTCACCATAGCTAAGATCTGGAAACAGCCTAAGTGGCCATCTGTAGATGAATGGATTAGAAAACTGTGGTACATCTACACGATGGAATACTATGCTGCTATAAAAAAGAAGGAACTCTTACCATTTGCAACAGCATGGATAGAACTGGAGAGCATTATGTTAAGTAAAATAAGCCAGTCAATGAAGGAAAAATACCACATGATCTCACTCATTTCTGGATAATAAAGACCATTATAAACTTTTGAACAAAAATAGATACAGAGGCAGAGCTGCCTCGAACAGACTGTCAAGCTACAGCAGGAAGGCCGGGGAGGGTGGGAGGGCAGGAGGGGGGTGGGTAAGAGATCAACCAAAGGACTTGTATGCATGCACATAAGCATAACCAATGGACATAAGACACTGGGTGGTAGGGGAGGCCAGGGGATTGTCAAGAGCGGGGGGGGGGGGGGGGGGGAGACATATGTAATACTTTAAGCAATAAAAAAAGAAAAAAAAAATTATGGGGTGCAATTGTAGGTCCATAGTGACTCCTGAAGTGATCAGTTCCCAGACAGGCTGGTGCTGTCTTGAACTGACTTCTTACACTGATGGGGAATATAAGACATTTGGGGGAGGGGGTGCCTAGCAATCTGAATCTGTGCCAGTAACCTGCCTTCTAACACACACTCTTGCTAGCCGATAATAACTCCACTGATGCCTGTCCTGTCTTGCAGAACCTGTTTCCTGGAATACTCCCATTTTACAGAGGCCATAAACCATAAACCATATACAAACCGCACAAGGGGTTATCAGTGCTGGTGCCAGGCCAGGCCTTTGGGTGTGGTCTCACATCCCCCATCCCAACACATGGGGCTTTTTGCAAAACCTGAGAAAGGTCGGGAAGCCTGATCCATATTTGGGGGGCAAAGAAACCAACGGGTATAAAGGCAAAGCTCCCTCCATATTCACTCATTCAGGATTTGGAAACAGGCATCCCTGAGTCACTGTACTAGTACATCTGAAAATAAATGGGTTTTTCCTGAATTTCTGAGTACTCCCTGTGTATTTTTTGGTCGCCTGGTAAATTCTGTAACAACACACCTACTCACACTAGCTCCTGCCTAGACAAATGCTTATCCACTGATGGGATTACGTCCCAAAAAACCCATCATGAATTTAAAATAATCACAAGTGGAAAATACATTTAATACACCTAACCTACCCAACATCATAGCTTAAGCCAGTCCACCTCAAACATGCACAGAACATTTACGTTGTACTCGAGGCAAAGCCATCTAACACAAAGCCTGTTTTATAAAAAAAAGTATGGGACATATCATGTACTTTATTGAATGCTGCACTGAAAGTGAAGAACAATGGTTTCAGAGGTGCTCACCGTTCACCTACACAGCTGACAGCACGCTGGGCCTGAAGAACGTTTGAAGCATTGAACTACAAGACACGCTGGCAACACAGTGCACTGTGGCGTATCAGCGGTTTACCCTACTGACTGCCTGGCTCACTGGGCCCTGCCTCTTGCTTCCACTGACCAGTATCACTACCCTGGGAAAAGATAAAAATTTAAAGTATTGTTTCTATTGAACATTTATTGTTTTTCCATCATCACAGAATTGAAAAATCCTAAGTCAAACCATTGTTAAGGCAGGGACCCTCTGCAGGACCTCACAGCAGGCAGCTCATTTGGGCAGAATCCCACCAAGACTGCTCAGGAATGTCGTTTCCTGGCCTCTCAGGGCAGGGAAATTCTTGTCTTCAGATCAATGCAGCTACCCCTGAGGCTTCCAGTCTGGTTTAAACTAGGCTTAAGCCAGGCACCCAATTCTGTGATCCTTTCTTCCCTCAACATATTGGGGCACATACTCCATTGTGATGGCAATGAACTCAGCAAACGGCCAATTACGGAGGAGCTACCAGCCTCCTTTCTGAGAAACATCTTTATCACTAGCATGATCCCCAGCAATGTTTTGTTTTGTTTTGTTTTTAAATATTGTTTCTAATATTTCTCCTTTACAAATCAACTCTACTGCGGCATAATTCACTCACGGTAAAGTGCATCATTTTAATATGTAAGTTCAATTTTTTTAAAAAGACACTAACATTGCCACTGCAGGAAATAGTTTTGCCATGCCCTTTTGCAAATATGGTATTACTATTGCTCCAATACTAATTTCCTGTGTTACATAATTGCTCTATGGATACATAAAAGGTTAACATTAGGGAAAGCTGAGTAAAACATAAGAAAACTGTGTGTACTATTTTTAAAACTTTTAATAAGTCTAAAACTATTACAAAGTTTTAAAGTCAGATAAGCTAAATCTAAAAAAGATAGGATTCAATTATTGAGGATGATTTTTATAAGGTAAATTTATTTTACTAAAATATTCTGATCCAATATACAAATTCCATTTTTTAAAATATAGTATTTGATTTATTTTTCAGCACTCACATATAAGTTAATGTTTATTGTTTGTGGCACACAAAAAGGCTGAAAGAGCCTGAATGTGTTGTAGTGAGGGGGAAAATGACACATCTCAAATTAATGTCCAATCTGATCTCTTTAAAAATTATTACACTACTAGAGGCCCGGTGCACAGTATTCGTGCACAGGTACGGTCCCTAGGCCTGGCCGGTGATCGAAGCACAAGCGTCTGGTGTGGAAGGGCAGGTTCCAGCTGACCTCTGGGCCCTGGGCAGCACCTGGGCCCCCAGGACCCTGTGCGCCCCGATCCACCTGAGTCATCGGGCCCTGCCCAGCTCCCTTAGCGCCTGGGAGCCACTTGGGAGCTCCCACTGGTCGCCGTCTACAGGGCTATTGGGCCCTGCTTGCACCCGCCTTGGCCTGGTGCCGCCTGCTCACCTGCTCCACCATCCCGCTGTGGTCCCACTCTCATCAGGGCCCATTGGGGCCGGAAGCGCCTCCACTGCCACCCGCTGCCAGTACCGCATCACTGACACCCGCCATGTTCTGCAAAGCCCCCTAGTGGTCAGCGCACGTCATAGTGAGCGTTCGAACTCCCAGGAGAGGGGACAATTTGCATATTAGGCTTCTTTATATAGGATTTGGATAACCCACAATGAATTTAATATAACCTTTCCAAAACATTACTTTGCAGTGTCAGGTATTTCACAACCAACCATCTGTAACATGTATCCTACTCATAAATCTTATATATCTATCTTTCATACATGTAAACTACTGTGTGAAGAATTTTAATATATATTTCATAATGTATGTGGTTTATATTGAATTAAATACATCTGTTGAGATACCACAAATCACCCGATTAACTAAATCACATTCACCAAGTTTAAAAGTACACTGATTTTCCCTCTCCCAACCATCATACGTGCATGTATTCATAAACAGACAAATCATATTTCAAAATCTGTACCATTTAATAAGGTTAAATATTTAAAACAAACCAGTATAGTTTGATTTTAAGAAAAATATGTATATACATTTTGCACAACTGTTTACAATAAAACATTTTTGAAAGAAAATAGAGCTAAAATTTTATTTATATTTTCCTCTAATTTACATAGCTAAACCAACTGTAAAGTTCTCTCCCTGTATAAGAGTTTTACATTTGGATTTCCTACAGAGAGGAAATCCAAACGTTAAAATAAATTAATTACATATGTCTTAAAAGTTTAAGACATATGTAATTCATCACATACCAAAATCACCACAGGTCAACTGACAGATTCAAGCTTACTTAAAAATCATTACAAATTGTGAAAAATACATGTTATGCAAAATTTTGTTTTTAAAAGTAGCATCATACCAACCCGTATAATCTAGGTGAATTCAAAAGTATAAACAATGTTTATAAATTACAGTAGTGTCGATACTGCCCAATCATGAAAGGAGGTATTCTTTGTAAATATATATATATTATAAATAAGAGACTGACTTCCTTCAAGTGCCAAAATTATTTTCACTTTAAACATTATTTAAAAGTTTGTGAAATATATCAGAAAACTGAGTAAGTACATAGAATACAATAAAACCCCTGACACTATCATTATTAATGCCAATTATCTAGTGACTTGTTCAACAAACTATTTTTTTTGTATGGGGTGATTTTTTTTCTTCTAGTTTTTGGCCTTGCAGTGGTTCTCAACCTTCCTAATGCCGCAACCTTTTAATACAGTTCCTCATGTTGTGGTGACCCCCAACCATAAAATTATTTTCGTTGCTACTTCATAACTGTAATTTTGCTACTGTTATGAATCATAATGTAAATATCTGATATGCTATATGTGTTTTCCAATGGTCGTGACCCACAGGTTGAGAACCGCTGCCTTAGAGGAACATGTTTTCATAGTTATTGTTTCCTTTCTTGCTGTTGCTTCACATCTCTATCAATGAGTTCCTTGGAATTTGCCATTATTTTACATCTAGAAATTTATTTTTATTCAATCCCCTGCTTCCACATATAGACACAGAGAGCCCAGCCTGTCCTTTCGCCTTGGCTCCAACAGGAGCAGCATTTAAAATGTGTTTGGCTGGGTGGAAGGGAGACTAATTCTGAATCGAGCTGTCATGTGTTTCTTTCCAGCCTACCTTGCACTGTCTCTTTGGTTGTTATGAATCTCCTGCTTCCCAAATATCTGGTTTTTGACTACCCATCTGGCCTCAGCCTCTGGTTTTTATATGTTCCTGGTTTAAATTCATCTGTCTCTCTGATTCCTGACCCACTGCTCCTCTAAGTCTACCACTCAAGTGTGTTTGCATTCCTTCCTTCTTGCATTTCAAGACATAAATGCTATTGGCTTCTTCAATCATCATTGGCCACAGATTACCATGAAACATAATCTCTTAAATTTCGTGAATTACTAGTGCTTCTGGTCCTGGTTTCCTACCAGGCCTTTCCTCTCAGTCTGCTATTGTCTGTTATTCTGATCACAGTGTATATATAACACACTGCTTGTAAAAAAGCTAACCTTACTAAATTAGTAACCTTACTTCACAAAGATTTCAAGTGGGTATGGCTCAACACTTTCCTTAATCAGTAAAATTCCTGACCAGGCAGATATTGTTTTTGATGATGTTCACTGATCTATTTTCTCCACATTCTGAGTAGACAAAGTTGGCTCAAGTCCGACCTGAATTGATGGAGTGTTGCGACGTTATCAGACATGTGAAATAGCCTATCTTTCAAATGAATGGATCGGTTACAGAGTACTTTGTTTTAATCAACAATAATAGTGCATGCCTACTATAAGCAAAGCACTATTTTAGGTGCTATAAGAAATGTACTAGCTAATCATTTTTTAATGATAAAAATTAAAGTACTGAGTATCTAAACATTGGTCAAAGTTCATTAAGAAATCTTCTCAAAGAAAACCAATAAAATACATCTAAGTCATGTGTTGTTGTTTTTTAATAAATCTTTTTGTGTCTAATTGGCACTTTTATTTGCTGAAGCTAGTATTTTCCCCAAGAAGATATGTAGTTGAATAACACTTTCACAGATTCATATTAAGAGGTAAGTGTTAAAAATCAGCAATATCAACAGATTACCTCCTAGATTTCCTGAGTTAAAGTGAAAATATGTATCTACAATGTTGATATTTCTAAATTCACTATATAGTGGGACACAAAGAAGATAAGCTGTGTTATAATCGTTTGGTAACTTTCTGTGATAAAGGACAGATTAGTATATGTCAATTTAAAAACAAATGATATTATTTAGCTGGTTCTAAATTCATGGGTTTTCAATAATAGTTTTTGAAAATCACACATAAATTTAACAAACTTTTTACACCATAGATTTTAACTAATCATTGGCTATTTTTTTTCTAGTTTAGTTTATTATTGGGAATTTCATACCTAGACAATGGTGTGTGTGTGTGTGTGTGTGTGTATTTTGAGGCTTTTGGTGGGGTTTTGAAGGCACAGTTCTGTTTCTTACATTAAAATAACACAAATGAGTCCATATATATATTTATATGCCATAAATATACAAAAAAACATTTAATTATAAAACATCAATTTTTAAAGTGATTGTCCATATTGAATAGATAATGCTGCAATGGCAATGTGCATTCTTACAAATGGAGGCCAATTCTCCAGCTGTAAAACACTCTTCTCTTTGCTATTTCAGCCTTCATTTGCTGCTTTGTTGAGGTCACAGTCCAATGAAACAGAAGTCAAAACTGAACTCGAATTTTGAAATGACACATCTGTGTCTAATGGTGGAGGGTTATACAAAAAGACTGCAAGCCCATTGAAGAAAATGGTGATAATTTTACAAATAACACCTAAATATAAAAAGAAAAGGTAATTATGCATTGGGCTTTTATTACAAAAATTAATTCTCACTTTTCCCAACTAGAAATTCATTACATTAAAAAGTAGAATTGGATAGGCATTATAGTTCTATGTTTTAAATTTTTAAAACTTTAGGATGAAAAGTGATATTCTTCAATAAAAAAAAGTACACATTTAAATGAACTATCCTGTATTTTCTTTCTAAACAATAAAAACATACAATAATTATTTTACTCTTGGTTATAATTGTACATACAGTGGGGCCTTGAATTACAAGTGTCCCGACTAATGAGTTTTTCGAGATACGAGCCATCTCTCGGCCAATTTTTTGCTTTGAGTTGCAAGCTAAAATTCGGGTTACGAGCCAGCTTCAGATACCCCACCGCTAGTTGGCGCAGCAAAGGTCACAGTGAACACCACAACATCAGCCCAGCATCACGTGTCTCACTCGTTCACTTTTTGATTTGACATATGAGTAATTTGAGTTACGAGCTCTGTCACGGAACGAATTAAATTCGTAAGTCAAGGCCCCACTGTATTTATAAAATAAATGTTGTATAGAAGTAATTCCATTTCTAATTTTATTAATACCTTATCTATAAAAAACTACAATCAAAAGTTAATGACAAAGAAAAACAGCTTACAACATCCTTGAACATGAAATAAAGTTGCAGAGTTTTCATGTTCATAATGGAAAATAACTCTAAAAATAAAAAAGCTTTGGAGTTCTTAGGAGAAAGCCTCTATGAAAACATATCACATTCAATACTCAACCAAATTTACTTATAAGCATCAACTAAAAATATGAAACGTCAAGATTCACTTCACAAGCTTTGATTTGTTTTCAAAGAACTCAGATTTTGAGCTCAGCTATATTAAGAGAAACTAGTTCTGGCCACATCACAAGCATTTAAGTTCCAGTCAAAAAGCTAAATGGTCTTACAATGTAGTTTTTGCAGTGTAGCTACTTTGTTTGTGTTAATCATTAATATTTTACTCAAAATGTGTATTTGAAAAACAGGAATGAGCTAAGTATTTCTAGGTTTATAGGAAAATTAATTACATAAGTACCATTGTTACAATGTTTTTGAAAAATGTAAAGGTCTGTATGCTTGGGGGATAAAATTAGTCACATTTATCACAGTAGGAAAAGAAACAATTTATCTGTATCTTCTGGTGAAAGAGTACAAACATAATCAATTACATTTTTAAACATGAAGACATTTTGAATAAAAAATGCTTTTTAGCAGGTAAAAGTAGTAGGAAGATTAATTTTGTCTATTCTAATCAATACTTAATCTCCTTTTTGTATGTGTGTAATTTATGTATTTATTTTGGCAGTGGATATTTTGTTACTCTGTCATCATAAATTCAGACAGCGTACTCTGGGTCTAAACACATATAAGAGCAATAAGCTATCCTGCTACATTTGCCAAAATAACTGCGAACACAATTGCAATAAAAATAACACATCCTGTAAATATTTAAATATTTTCTATCTAGAATTTCTGTTTTAAAAATATTCTAATTTCTTAGGTTGATTTAAAATTATCTTACTCTTACAAACTAGATGCATTGCTTTGTTTCCTTAATCTTAATTTTCATTTATTGCTTAACCAAGACTCTGTAAGACAGACTGCCAAAGGTAAAGAGGTTAAAAATCATGGCTGACTTTCTAAACTTATAAAAAGGTTCTCATAACATGCCTTAGAGCCGAGGACACTTCCCTGCCTCCACCCTATGTGCTTTCCAAAGCCCAGGTACCGAGATGAACACATGCCAGCGTCTTAGAATTCTCCTTCGGTTTTTGTTAGATTTCCCAAAAAACTCTGAGAGAAGTTGTTAAAAGAAAATTAAATATGTGATGTAATGAAAGCTATAATGTTCTTCCATTATGGACTGAGTCTTACAGACTCCGAGTAAAGCTTTTGTATCCTGCCTGTGCCCAATCTTTGCTTCAGGACTGAACATTTCAAAACCGAAGTAACAGTAACTTTTTTTTTTTAATCTGGACATCATCCATTTACTCTGAAGTTATTAAGAAGTCACTACTTACTTATTGCCACAAGCATACGGGCCATCCTGATGTTATCATAAATCCAGCAGGCTCCCTTCCTTCCACACTCATTAACATCCCAGAGAACACATGTGCTGTCTATTGTGACACCAAAAATAATTGGTCCAGGTATTGAGCCTAGAGGATTATATGTGAAACACACATATAAAGTGAAGATTACAGTTTATAGTTACAGAGTTTTATGCCCATGATTATACATATATTTTATACAAATAAGGATAGGTATTAATCTGTCCATTTGCAAATAAATCAGTTCATGTACAAGTAATATGGACAGAAAGAAACATAGGCAAAAATTCTAAAATAATTGAACATAATTATACTTGTCTAACCAATTAAAAATTATTGTAATAAAAATCTCTGGCATATAGTGCACTGACATTTAGTAAAAGTAAATATTTTTTTTTAATATATTTTATTGATTTTCCACAGAGAGGAAGGGAGAGAGATCGAGAGTCAGAAACATCGATGAGAGAGAAACATCGATCAGCTGCCTCCTGCACATCTCCCACTGGGGATATGCCCACAACCCAGGTACATGCCCTTGACCGGAATCGAACCTGGGACCTTTCAGTCCGCAGGCCGACGCTCTATCCATTGAGCCAAACCGGTTTCGGCAAGTAAAAGTAAATATTTTAATTCACTGCTTTTCTAACTGAATAAGCGTCTTTGAAATTAGCTATTATACTTCTAAGGAATCAAAATAAATTATTGATGCACAAAGTAAGTACTAAAAACAGTATGCGTGTTATATGTGTGTATATGTATGTATGTACATATACACACATATCAACATATATGTGGATGCATGTGTACACACCAATATTAATACTAACATGCTTAGTACTGCTATGTCTAACACACACCCTCCTCCATGTGAGGTCAGAAGGCACAAAGCTTTCACATAATTAAAGAACTTCCAATTGTTACAAATCAAATACATGATTCAAAGTGGTATTTTTTAGACAAAGGTTTCAGCTACATCCAGCCTATTCTTTCATGAGCTGTGGCATGATAGAGTCAGAAGAGCACTGGACCGAGTAAGGAGACCACTTTCCTACTCTCATTTGCACCATTCATTGTATAACTATAGGCAAGCCCCTGAATCTCTCTGGGCCTTCATGTACTCATCTGAAAAATGGGAAAGTTGGTTCAGGTGACTTCTAATGTTCCTACTTTTGGTGAGTTTTTTTTAAAAAATGATCTTAATATTATGTGCATAATTTGTCTTTCTTATTCTTCTTGCATCTGGTATCTTATAAAATTTTCTGGTATAAATTATTTCTTCCATCAATTCTTAACTATTTTTCATTGTTGATGAATCATAATCATGCACCAAACAGAGATAAATGCAGGAATAAAAAACATTACAGTAGTTATAGATAAGATTAGTAGAATTTGTTGGTAATGGGTTTTATATGAATAGGAAAAAATGTCACTTACTATGCTCTATTAGAAATGCATTGATGATCAAATATTACATTTCAAATAAATATGATATACTCTTTAAGGTTATATTTGGAATTGAATTAGAAACAATAGTCAACAAAGCAGGTAGGTAAAAAGTAAAGTCATTATTTGTTTATGTGATATCAAATAATGTATCTTTTTAATATTGGAAAATAGTTTCTTCAACAGCAATGACATAGTTTTCTACTGCATTTAAATTAATTACTTTCTTGGCACATACCATAAATAAATAAATCAATAACACTATGAACAAAAATAACCAAGTTACTAATGAATTGAGAAAAATGGCATACCTAATAATCGAAGCATCATAAATTGTATTCCCAAGGCTAGAGACCGTTGCTTTTGATTAACACACCTGGAGACAGTAAATACACATGAAGCCAAAAATGGTTGTATAGCACATTCACATCATGTCTCAAGTATGAATGAGACACAGTGCCGGGACACAAGAGTTAGAGAGAGAAAAGAGGTCAACTAGTCTTTAAAAACAAACTTGCAGTTGAAAGGTGACATAATTTTTTTCAAAATAAATTTTAAAAAAGCAGAGTCCCTATTTTCTAAATAACTCCAATTTCCATGTAGTGAAATATTAGAAGACTCTTTAATGTTTTTAGACATAGCCTCTAAAACTTCCATTCATCAAGAAGCATGTGAATAGGTAAGTATCAAGGAACCAAAAGTGAAAGGGGCAAAGTTTATTAGGAGAGAAATAGAAAGGCTGATGAGCTTATGGAAGGGCAGATAGGAAATATTTTTACAACGAAATGTAGCAGGAAGAGCAACAAAAAGTACAAAACACTGTGAAGAGTCAGATGACAGCTGGCTTCTTATCTATTAGCGCTGTTCACAGGAAGATTTAAAATCACAGCACCTACTGTATGAGGTAGAATGCATGTCATTCTGATTCTGACATATATGGAATGCACTGCATTTCCATCATACTCAGATACAGTTGAAAATATTTCAGCTTACAACTGAAGCCTCAGGAAAGAAGCAGAGAAGCTAACTAAATAAATAACAGGTGGACAATGTCAGGACACTTTTCACATACATGATCTCATTTAAACCTCAGACATCTGGCGTTCAATAAAGTAGGTTTTTTTAAAAGCATCAAACTAATGATCTTGTAAGGGCTGAATTCATATTAGAACTAATGGTCAATATAAACCGAGTCCTTTTTTTTCTTTTTCATTCAACATGCTGCCTTAGGGATGACAAATTTCAAAATACAATACATACCTTAGGATGGACACAGTTATAGGAGTACCAGCCATAAAGGTAAAAACAATTGCAGCAAAGAAAATGCCAAGGAATATGGGCAAGTTTGTACATTGAGTTTCACATTTTCCAGCTTTAGCTTCATAACCAGAGCTTTCTGCAGGAGGTGTTATTTCTGTTTTCATTTCAATACAGGAACAGTTGTAATATACCTAGAATATTAGACATAAAAATACTGAATGTGTTTAATTTGAAAACATGTTTTATCATTGTAAATTAGGTGATCTCTTGACATGGTTCTCTCCAGCAGTCTTCATCCATACACAACAAATAATGTGAGAAAGAGTAATTAACACTCAGAAATTAGACAAGGGAAAACAAGCAGCCATATTTATGAAGTAGAATCATCTCTATTTGACTTTTGTGTTCATTACTTCAATTTTTAACCTATTATTGACTCAGGATTTATAAAACAAATTGACAAGAATATAACAATGTGTTATCACACTCATTCTACACTGCTTTGAATGAGCTTAACTGTTCAAATAATTTACCTGCTCACTTTCTTCATTTCCATTACAGGACACACAAATAAAGCATGCATAGTGACAATCTCACCATTACACTAGTTTAAAAGAACAAACACTATAATTTTAATAAGTGAACTTGTTGAATTGTTTTACCAAAAGCAAACTCTTAAGGACATATTTATGAATATCAAAAACTAGAAGTGATTACATTACCTGGTAGGCTATTTTATGTACAAATAACATATACATATAAAATATTATTTTATGTTATAATTAAAAATATGAAATGTTGAAAGGCAACATGTAAATAAATCACAAGTATTGCTTTTGCATGAAAAAATCAGATATTTTAAAAATTAGTCATGATTATTTTTTAAAGCCTTTTTATATCTCAATTCTATCCCTGCAATAAATCTTTTTACACATTAAAGGACTCAATGAAGTCAGCAGAGCCAGAGAAGTCAAAAGGAAGTGTTGCTTTTATTGTTCTGAAGTCAGAGACCTTTTTGGGTCTAAAATGTTCTATGGCCACTGGTACTGATTCAGGACACCCAAACATGCAGATGACACCCCCAAAATAGACTATTTGAGACTCAGCAATCAGATGTATCAAACTGTGAAGTAATGTCACCTTTCAAATTTTTCAGAAGAAAAAATGAGAAGTTTTTTCTGTCTTTTTTTAAATGTATATATTTTTAATTTCAAAAAATTTATTACTGTCAGTATCACAGATGTCCCCTTTTCCCCCTTAGTCCTTCTCCAGTTTTGTCCTGTTTGTGATGAAACTTTCCAACTTTCTTGCATAAAAAGTATGCATTTGCCTAAATATAGTTGCAGTTAGTCAGCATCTGTTTTTATACTTTGGGTCACTGGTGTTAAATATAAAACTAATATTTCTGTGAACAAATGCGTATAGATATTTACTACATTATTATCAGTGCATTCACCTATCTGAAATATTCTGTAAGAAAAAAATCCCAAGAAAAAAATGAGTTTACATGGAATAGCTATATATATAAAAGCCTAAACGACCAAACGACTGGTTGACCATTTGCTATGACACCCACTGACCATGAGGGGGCAGATGCTCAATGCAGGAGCTGCCCCCTGGTGGTCAGTGTGCTCCCAGTGGCCCACCAACCCGGCGGCAGCCACTCATTCCCTCAGTAGTCCTGCAGGTCCAGTCTCTGGAGAACAGGCCAGGCACTGACAGACTGGTGCCACCAACATGATCCTGACTGCACTGCTGGCCTCCTGGAAGTTGGCCTCAGGCACCATGGCCACTTCCTCTCGCAAGACACTCCACAAGGAAGAAATGATATAAAAGCGGCCCCAGGTGGCTCCCAACAACTGGCGTGAACATCAGCGGGACGGATCTGGATCCTGGGCCAGGCAGGGGCATCCAACTGCCCTACTCAGAGGGCCGATCACTTCCCGGTCCCCCGTTAGCTCCCTCAGGACAGGTACCGGACACAGGGCTCACGGCTGGCGAGCACCGCTGCAGTGGCACAAGCCTCTCCCAATCAGGACTGACTGAGCGTGAGCCCATGGCAGGCGCAGCAGGGCCTGAATGAGCGGGAGTGGCAGGCAGGAGGAGGAAGAAGGGGCGACAGGCAGCGTTGGATGCTGGTTTTGGCCCAATCCCCGCAGGCCATGCCGAGGGACCCCACCCATGCACAAATTGGTGTGGTCAGGTTTAGTGTGTGTGTTTTTGTGTGTGTGTGTGTGTGTGCATGTGCATGTGTGTGTTTAAGGTAAGAACAATTACCATGAGATCTACGGTCTTAACTAATCCTAAGTGTACGATACATAATTGTTGACTATCAGTACAATGTTGTGCAGCAGATCTCTAAAGCTTATTCCTCTTGTGACTGAAACCTTATGCCTGGCTTCTGAATGGAGGAGGTGGGCCCGAAAGGAAAGAGCAGGCATTGTGTGACTCCATAGAGGGATCAAGAAGGCCATCCATACATAGACAAATACATTGCCTCATTAAGGTGAAGTAGCAGACACAAGTTACCTCTGAATGTTTCCTTGAAACAGAACTTTTACAACCTGCAAAGCAGGGAGAAAAATACTGGACTCCATCTCTGCCACAGACAGGATAATAATGTGACCGCATGCAGTTACAGTTGGCGTTACAAGGGGTGGTCAAGTTTCCCATGTGTCCTGTCCTGTCAACAAGAAATGAAAGACAAGCTAATTATCTCTGTTATAATATTTACTGAACAGTTCCGAAGCATTGCTATGTCTTACCATGCAGTCAATTATTCACTCACTCAGCATATATTTAATTACTAAATAAATAAATAAAACAAAATGTCTGCCTTTTCCCATAGAGCTTAACTTCTTGTGGAAAAGAAAAGGATTTGAAACAATCTATCTATATAAAACCCTAATATGCAAATAGACCAAACGGCGGAACAACCAGTTGCCATGACGTGTGCTGACCACCAGTGGGGTGTGCGCGGAACATGGCAGCCGTTGACCCCAGCAGGATGACGGAGTAGGTGAGCAGTGTGCCAGACCAAGGTGGGGCGCCGGTCGCTGTCATCAGGGCAAGCCTCTGATGGTTACTGAAAATTCTTTGCTCCCGCACTCCACGGTCCCACCCCAGCGCTCACACCTGCTGCCAACGCCGGAGCCGCCACTCACACCCACTGCCAGCCCCAATCACTAGGCACCATCAGCAGGTACAAGCGGTGGCTGCCAGCCCCGATCACCCCTGAGGGCTTCTCCACCCCCACCCCCCCATTCCTGAGTGCAATCTGAGCAGCAGCCACCACTTGCATATGCTGCTAGCACTGGCCCTGATTGCTCCCACTGCCGGCTCCAGCCCAATCACTCCGCGCTGTCAGCGGGTGTGAGTGGGGCTGGCGCCATCAGCGAGTAGGATTGGCGGTGGCAGGAGCAAGGCTGCCGGCAGACATGGGACTAGGGGCTGCAGCAGGAGAGGCCAGGCAGGGCGTGGAGAATGGGCTGAGGCCCACCTCTGTGCCCACCACAGCCACGTGGCCCACAGTTCCTTTCAACGTGCACGAATTCATGCACTGGGCCCCTAGTAGTTATAGATTATGTCTGTCAGTGAGAAGAAAAATAGGCAGAGTAAGCAAACGTAGTTTCTCATTTGATAGCAGAGAACTCCTTTTTTTAGGGAGGAGGGGCTGATTCTGAAGATTGTAGGGTGTTCTGCAGCATCCACCCCTGGATGCCATAGCATCCCCTTAGTTGTGACAACCAAAATGTCCCTAGACATTGCCAAATTTCCCAGGAATACAAAGAAATTTTTAAACCTGAAAAGATGAGTAAAATCATGGTGTTCAACATATTCATTTTATCAACAGGAAAAAATGAGGCCCACAGAGATTAACTTACTACTTTTCTTTCTTTGTCAAATATAATACTCCTGGTTCCCAGGCTCAGTGTTGTTCCGAGCTGCCTCTAAATAGGAGGCAATATAAAGGGTTACCCTAAGCAAGGAAACTTCTCCAATCCCATATTTATTCACTGACTCAGCCAATATATATTGAGCAAGGGCTGGGCCCCATGCTAGCTATTGGGAACACAAAGCTGAGTACGCTACTCATGATCCTCAAAGATTTCAATCTAGGAGTAGAGAGAGATGGACACATAATTATACACAGTCTGGTGAGTGTGGTTATAAAAATTCAAAGTGTATTTTAGAAGCACTGGGCAATGAGATTTAAAGCAAGCCAACATTTAGATAAGTGGATCTGAAAGGGCTACTGTCTGAAATGAGTTTAAAGGATATGTTATAGTTAGCTGGGTAAATGGGGCAGGTGAAGGGAACTTCAGAGAAGCTGGTACAAAGGCATAAAGGTGAAAAATATCACCCTCTACAAAAAATATTAATGATATCTGTGACAGAGAGTGATGGGAAATGCAGGTGGAGATGGGTCAAGGACCAGATTATTGAGGGCCTGATAGGCCTTGTTAAAAACAATGAACTTTATCCTATATTGAAAAGGCAATAAAAGTATTTTCAGACTGCAAAGTGACATTGTCAAAAGGCCATTTTAAAAGATAATCCTAGGAGCTATACCAGCCGTGGGCAAACTATGGCCCGCGGGCCAGATCCGGCCCATTTGAAATGAATAAAACTAAAAAAAAAAAAGACCGTACCCTTTTATGTAATGATGTTTACTTTGAATTTATATTAGTTCACACAAACACTCCATCCATGCTTTTGTTCCGGCCCTCCGGTCCAGTTTAAGAACCCATTGTAGCCCTCGAGTCAAAAAGTTTGCCCACCCCTGAGCTATACAGAGTATGAATTTTAAGAAAGAGGACCAGTTACAATACCCCAGACAATAAGTATTATCATAGTTTATGAGGTGTGTAAAATAAAGCACAAATCACCATTTCAAACACTGGATTACCAAAGCAGGCCCAAAGATCCTAAAGATTGTCAAAGCAATATAAGAACAATAGGAAATTTTAATAATTAATAGATTTCTGAAAACATGCTTAATCATCTTTCAATTGAATTTAGTATTTTCCCCATATTAAATAAAGATTTAATAATGAATTCCACCTGAAATCTGTATAATTTTGTTAACCAGTGTCACTCCAATCTATACTAATAAAAGGGTAATATGCTAATTAGACCAGGTCAACCGTACATCTCCCGGATGTCTGACTTACTTCCGTACAAAGCCACAGTGGCAGGGGCCGAGGCAGAGGAGGTTAAGGGTGATCAGGCCGGCAGAGGAGCAAGCAGTTAGGGGCGAGATCAGGCCGGTGCAGGGGAACAAGCAGTTAGGGGCAAAATCAAGCTGGCGCAAGGGAGCAAGCAGTTTGGGGACGATTAGGCCGGCAGGAGAGGGCAGTTGGGGGTGATCAGGCAGGCAGGCGAGCAGTTAGAATCCAGTGGTCCCGGATTGTGAGAGGGATGTCCCAGATTGGAGAGAGTGCAGGCCGGGCTGAGGGACACCACCACCCACCCCCTACCCCCGCCGTGCACGAATTTCATGCACCGGACCTCTAGTAAATTTAATAAAAATAAATAAAATAATATTATTTCAAATAGAAAAAATATAAATATTAAAAATATCTCCTGACATAATCAGTATTATTGATATTAAGCTTTTTGGGTATACTTTACATGAACTTATTAAAAACCCTAATTCATTCATTTATAGTCACAAAAGCTGTTTTTAGCCCACCTTTGCTACATGGCAAAGAGCAAAGACTCATCACACCACTGAACTAGAAACCCTACATCTTCGCAACCTCCTTGTTCTTTCTCCTACTCACTCATGGTGTATTTTTAAATTTCTTAAGTTTGTTCTTTCCATATATTTTTCCATACATGTTTCTTGAATGAGACTATTTTGACCAAGCTGTCCATGATATGGACAGTAAATGCAGGTTACAGAGCTAAAATTAAGAATCTTTGGTACAGGGAAAACAGTTATCTGACAACATCACATCTCCTATGCGACATCAATGTCTATTTCTTCCTATATTGATATCTATATAAACACACACGTGAATGTGCATGTATGTGTGTGTGAGTGTATACTCACTTTCAGTTTTTTCCCATCACTAACAATGTGTATATACATTAAACACTATCTCTGTGCCCCAGCTCTTGCCATCTCTGGATGACCAGCCCCCCACCCTCCACATGCACCTCAAACTGACAACATCTCTCTGGCCTTGCCTTCTGATCAGACTAAGGACTACTCATCTGGGAGTAACTCTTGTTTAAGGTAGAAAATACCAAAGGGACTCATATCTCTATCATTCATCTGTCAAGGTGATAAATTAATGTTACACTATCCAAAACTTTTTGTTCTTCCAAGAGGAAGAACAGTCATTTCTTGGGACAGGTTTGGGTGAAATTTACAAATGTGAAAACCAGGTCTGCCCAACTTACCTCCATCTATCTTTTCACAGTCCCAGATATTTTTCTACTATTTCCAGACACAGGACTGAGTGCATTCAAACAGGTCCCTGAACCTAACCTTCACTTTCCAGCATTTATTGGCTTACCATATCTCCTCTACTCTTCCCTCTTCTAAAATCTTTATCCCTCAAAACTTTTCACATCCTGAAAGGATATTTAATCCCATTTTTCTCTTATGCCATGAAGCCTTTCCTGAATCTAGTCAAAGGAAACTGAAAAGTTCTCTTTCTGAATTCCATAGCCCTTTGTATGTCTCTCATTACCTAATTGTTCATTCGCTGTTTTGTTTCCCAGTCTCTCCTCTTATGCGGAAAACTCCTTTAGTGTATGGATTTTTGCCATAAGTTCTGCCAGAGGGAGGAGTCAACAAATGTTGACCACATGCAGCGGAGCTGAATTAAACACGGCTTTAGAACACTCACATCTCATTCATGTAAAAGAATGACAGACATGAACAGCAACTACCAGTCCTAACTGTTAATGGCAAACTTTTCCAAAGTATATCTCCTTAGGTTATCTGAATGCCAAGTCACACAAAGTCATGGAGTCCCTGACCTGGACTACCATCTCCCTCAACAGCCTCAAACAATTAAGGCATCACTGCAGGCTATAAAATACTAGTACACTATCATGCAACCTCCTGCCTGAACCCATGCTCAGCTTAACAAACTTAACTTGTTTGTTAAGTGTGAAACAAACAAGGCAAAGAAAAGTAAAATGGTTAAACCAGTCATAGGTAGAAACATGTTTACAGATCAGAAGGATAAGAAGTTATTTATTCCTCTACAGAAACATGAACTTCTAAAGCAGATAAAGCAACGATTAGTATCATCTAGGACTAGCTTCATTTTAATTTCTCTCCTAACCCATTTTCAGCCCACCTAATACAAGACTTTCACCATAGGGAGGCATTTTCATTTTTTAAAATTTAAATTAATAGGAACAAACAATGTGAAAGCCTCCCTATAATGTGAATCCCTTCTGGGCAAAGAATCTGTTATATTAAATCAGTGTAATCTAAGCATAGTACCCAGTACAGAATAGTTGCTCTCTGAATAAATACCCAACTTTTAATAAGATGTCAATTATTTAAACTAAAAAGAAAAGGTGCCTATGCTTACAAAAGAAAAAGCCTTTCAGATAAAAAATTAAAAAGCCAATCTCTCATCATTTTAGCATATATTTAGAAATACACACATAGTTTATTACTGATATTAATATCAAAAAACATTGAAATATACTTACCCATTATATGATTCAGACACTCCCGCAAATGGCTCATTTTCACAGCTGGCATACACAAATACAAAGCTGAGCACAAGTGAAATTAAAGATGTGAGAAAAGCAAACTTCATTGTGTTTTTACATGTCATTCTGAGCTTCGAAACAATAACACCACCTAAAATCTGACCCAGAGCAGCTCCAGGAATTAAAACAGCCCCTAATGAGAAAGAAGACAGAAAGCATACAAATATACTCAGTAACTCCTACCAACAACTGGAAAATATCAAAAACAAACAGCAAATTGGTTTTAACATATGAAAGCACTCGTGATTTAGACACATGAATGAATGATTTGTTATATTAAGACATTAATAAAATTAATGTTTTAAATATTAACATTAATATATAGTCTATTAGCTATATAGCTATACAGCCTCTGTACCTATCAAGTTCATGTAAAATATTGTTTGATGTCAGAAAATCAGAAACTTTTATCAACATCAGTATAAAGTTTAAATTTCAAGGACTCGGCTATCTAAAAGTATATGCTATTCCATTAAACATTTAACATGGTACAGTAAGATTACATTAGAACAAAGAAAATGTCTTACCTCCAAGGGTAGCTGCAAAACTGGATGATAATCCAAATTGATTTTCTATAAATTTAGGTAAAAATGTAGCAAATCCAGTAGTAACTAAGGCTTCTGTAGAAGTTGATATAACTAAACACATAAAGACAGTATTCCTCAAGGAATTCTAAAGAAAAAATACAGTTCACCAAATGAATAACCATGATACAGCACAGAATGTGCAAAATACAGCACAGAATGGCAACTTTTTAATAAAAACCATATACTTATCCATAACATTTCAGCTTTTTCCTCCAGCATAAAAGTATAAATATGGGTTAAAAAGCTTTATTTAGAGAATGTTGAGAAAATGTACCTGTGAAGCACTTGAGAGGATTGACAAATGATGCATCAGCAGGATGACTGTGCCTGTGTCATATGCAAGGGACCAGAAAAAGGAGGTAAGAGTCCACTTGGAAGCCGACCTTCCCCAGTCTTACTGTAAAACCTCCATACAACAAATCTGTCCCTTATCTGACATTTTTATTGTGTTCTGAATTACTATGTCCAGTAAGTGAAGAACTTGACTGTGAGCATAAGAATGGTCTTTAAGTATCAAACTTGTAGTATTGTTCTATGAGTCTACATCTCAGTAGTTCAGAACCTTAAATAGGCACAGAGTTAAGTCATTTTAAAAAGGTGTCTATGTTGCTAGACTTCTCAGAATGTTATCAATCTATCAGAAGGGAGTATAGACATTCATTAATTCAATATACTTTACCATACATTGAAAACCAAAGTATAGTTGGAATATTAAATACAAAAAATTCATAAAACCAACCACAATACACACACACACACACACACACACATGCACACACACACACAAACACAAGAGTCAGAGGCAGATGATCTAAGAAAAAGTAAATAATTTCAAATCTCAAAAAGGTAAAATTATAAATTTCTTTCTGTATAAAACTTTTATGATGCTAAATAGAAAGAAGGCTTTTCTGCTGAGTTCAAAGAAATAGACCGTTAACACTTGTTTCTTTAACCTCAAGTTCAATCCAAGTAACCACTAACCTCCACTTCCTTCACAGGCAAATATACAGGTTTGGCATTCTCAAATATATATTTACAATTCAATGATAATTGATCGATCCATTACATAAACGAAATGGCATGGAATAACGGGTTATTGTGCTAATAAGGAACCACTTAATATTGATATTGCCAATAAGATAACTCATGTTCTTTCAACCATTCTATTCTGAAATAGTTTTCATTTACTCAAAGCTCAAAGAAATTAAATCTGGAGAGTTTTTTACAAGAGCTAGAATAATAGTAAATAAGCAAACAGCAATGAATGCATTGTGGAAATAGTCAAACAACAATGCATTGTGGGAATATTTGTATAGATATATATGTGTTTATGTATATTTGTAAGGTATACATATATCTACATATGTATGTGTGAAGGGGTGGGTGTATGAACAATGTTATTTTACCTTTAGTGCAGCTGGAAAATCTTTAAAACTTTTCCCAAAATCCTCGTCTATATGATCTAAGGAACTATTACTCTGATGAGTCTGGGAAGTTTTTCCATCTTGAATGTTTGCTGTACCTAAAAAATAGTAAATGTACTTGCTCTATCACGTCATTCTTTATTTTAAAAAATGCTTTTTAATTGACACACACTTCTACACGTATATAAAATTCCAAGCTGAAACCGGTTTGGCTCAGTGGATGGAGCGTCGGCCTGCGGACTGAGAGGTCCCAGGTTCGATTCCAGTCAAGGGCATGTACCTGGGTTGCGGGCATATCCCCAGTGGGAGATGTGCAGGAGGCAGCTGATCGATGTTTCTCTCTCATCGATGTTTCTAACTCTCTATCTCTCTCCCTTCCTCTCTGTAAAAAATCAATAAAATATATTTAAAAAAAAAAATTCCAAAACATAAGAAGCCAGTTCCCCTTTTTGTCAAAAAAACTGTATAAATATTCATGTCTGCAATCTGGCAAGAGTTAATATTATTACAATTAGCAAAGGAAGTTCCAACTGGTCTAAAATTTAAGATTAAACACTCTTCCTCTAGTCACATATCCATTCTCTTTATTTAAAAATCTTTCTTTAAAAATATCTCTTTTGTTCAAATGTTTCTCTTTCACATCTTTTATATATTAAATAAAGTATGTTTGTGGCTTTTTTTCTTTTACGCTCTTTAATTCTAACATACTTTGCAGATGAAATAATGTTTAACATCTATTACCAGGTCCCTTTGATTTTTAATAATGGTTCTGTGAATAAATCTGAGAAAACAGTCAATATATTGAATCATCAGTTGGATATTCTAAGGTAAAAGGAAAAAAAAAAATCAGCTCAGCCACTGTGGCTCTCTGGTTGAGCACTGACCCCTGAACCAAGAGGTCCCCAGTTCAATTCCAGGTCAGGGCACATGCCTGGCTGCAGGCTCAACCCCCTGTACTGGACATGCAGGAGGCAGCTGATTGATGTTTCTCTCTCATCGATGTTTCTTTCTATCCCTTTCCCTTCCTCTCTCTCAAAAAATCAATAAGAACATCTTTTTAAAAAAGAAAAAAAGCAATGGTTTCATCTACTTCTACTCTGTCAATATTTGTTTTACCCATTTCCAAATGGTAATTATCTATCCTGTGTTAAATAATAGAAACAATACCTGAGCCTAGAGCAGTGATGGCGAACCTATGACACGCGTGTCAGAGGTGACACGCGAACTCATTTTTTTGATTGATTTTTCTTTGTTAAATGGCATTTAAATATATAAAATAAATATCTAAAATGTAAGTCTTTGTTTTACTATGGTTGCAAATATCAAAAAATTTCTCTATGTGGCACTGCACCAGAATTAAGTTAGGGTTTTACAAAATGCTGACACGCCGAGCTCAAAAGGTTCGCCATCACTGGCCTAGAGAAACATACATACGTCTATATAAGCAAACAACTATGCATTATGGAAATATTCAAACAACAATGCATATCCCATCTAATAAAGAGGGAACATGCTAATTGACCCTCACGCTGATGCAAAGATGGCGGCACCCACAGCCAATAAGGAGGGAATACGCTAATTGACTGCCCCACCCTCAAAGATGGCAGCGCCCACAGCCAATGAGGGAATATACAAATTGACTGTCCGCCCTCAAAGATGGCAGCACCCACAGCCACAAGATGGCCGGCAGAGGAGGGAAGTTGCAGACAATCAGGCCAGCAGGGAAGGGCAGTTAGGGATGACCAGGCTAGCAGGGGAGGGCATCTGGGGGGGAGGGGGGGGACTAGGCCTGCAGGGGAGGGCAGTTAGGGGTGACAAGGCTGTCAGGGGAGGGCAGTTAGGGGCAACCGGGCCAGTAGGGGAGGGCAGTTGGGAGCAATTGGGCCGGCAGGGGAGCAGTTAGGCATCAATCAGCCTGGCAGGTGAGTGGTTAGGGGGTGATCAGGCTGGCAGGCAGGTGAGCAGTTGGGAGCCAGCAGTCCCGGATTGTCAGAGGGATGTCTGACTGCCAGTTTAGGCCCGATCCCAGAGGGACATCCCGCAGTTGGACATCCACCAAGGGGTCCCAGATTGGAAAAGGTGCAGGCTGGACTGAGGGACACGCACCCCCAAGTGCATGAATTTCGTGCACCAGGCCATCCATATATATATATATTTGAACTTCATGATTATACAGAAGCAAAGTCTCAAAGAGAAAGAAAGATATTTTCTTCTATTAATCTTTTCTTTTTTGAACAGACTGTAGTGAAAATGAGTATACTACAGCATGTCTTTGATAATTAAAAGAAAAGAACTTGTACTTTCAACAGCAAATAAACATCAATAATTTAAAGCAGATGGGCTCTTGAAGTTAGTGACTAGCTAAATAGAGACTAATAGTTTAAAAGATATTGTATCTTATATAGATATATACAGCAGGATTCCAGATAATAAGCAACAAATTTAATAAGTATATAGTAAATAGGTGAATATGTATAGTTTTGCTGATTATGAATTGGAAAATTAAAAGAAACCATGAACATTAAGGTTGCTACCTAATATTTCCCAAAATAGAGAACGGTATTCAAAAGTTTGCATAGGCAGAAAACTGAGATTCTAAAAAACAAATAAATTTTCTAGAGTTCTTACCAATCATATAGAAAGCAACACTTGACCAAGAATTGGACTAAAACTTCCTTGTCTTAAAGATATTATTTTTACCTGGTAAATGTTTTGGAAAGCAAGAAAAAGGTATTATCAAACACCAAGCACAGAAACAAGCAATAAGAAATCCAATCCACCACGCTCCAAGCCATCGCGGATCATTCTCAGTGATATCAGTGCTATACGACAGAAAAACGAAAGGTCAAAGTCAACTCTATTTTTGTTCATTAAAACTCAGTTATGATCATTATATACTTTATAATTCAAGTACATTTATAGAGGAATATTTTTATAATATCCAAAATTTTAAGAGGAGCCATTCTGATGAATCAGATGACAGACAGCAAGCATAAATGAGAGCTATAAGAATAATGGTTTGCAACGTATTTCAGAATGGCAAATAAGACATAAAAATTTAAACTATTTAATACTAAATATACTATTGAAAGTATATATAGAATTTCTGAACATTCTTTGGCTAAGTTTTCATTCTCTACTATATTAAATACGTCTCACAGCATATCTGACCTATGTTAAAAGCCCATATACTGTGCTTCAAATTACAGCATTCTTTTAAATATAAGTCTTTGTAAAATGATTCATTACATTTTTTTATAATGCTTTCATATTTTATAATAGATTCTTCCCCATAATACTCCACTCCCACAAAACTTATGCAATTCTCCACTAAAATTAAAATGTCCTTTCTTAAAATCCAGCTCTCTGCTTCAAGGCTTCCCCTGACACCTTTTTCTATAGTCTCTGTATGAGACAAATAAATATTACCTATTACTATCCTCTATGGTCAGTTGGAGATCTCTAAGATATCTAAGATATCTTAATTGTGATCTCTAAGATATCATCAGAGATACTAGAGAATTTAGTCTGAGAATCATACACTCTTGACTCTTCAAGCTATCTACCTCCAGTTAAATCTACTAAGAACATAACTAATTTTGATTAAATTCTTCTTCAGAACAATTTATGGCATCTTATGTGTATAGAAAAATTATACCAGGTGACTATTAAATATCCTTATTTATGAATAATAAATGTTTTTATAGTAAGAGATGGTATGGATTAACTCATGAAACAATGTAACCAAAACATTACATAAAAATTGTGTGTATTCAATTTTGTTTCCTGAAAAAAATCTTCATAATATACTAAGGAAATACTGTGAAAATGTTTCTGTCTATGATGTTAACACTATAATCTATAATAATAAAAGTGAAATATGCTAATTAGAACAGACAGCTGAACAACCTTCTGGATGTCCTTCCAGATGACCTGGCAGCCACCACAGCAGGCAGGGGGCCAAGGCAGAGGCAGTTAGGGGCGATCAGGCAGGCAAGCGAGCAGTTAGGGACAATCAGGCAGGCAGGCATGCAGAGTGGTTAGGGGTGATGAGGCAGGCAGGTGAGTGGTTAGGGGTGATGAGGCAGGCAGGTGAGTGGTTAGAGGTGATGAGGCAGGCAGGCGAGTGGTTAGGGGCAATCAGGAAGGCAGGCAGGCGAGCGGTTAGGAACCAGCATTCCCGGATTGCGAGAGGGTGTAGGCTAGGCTCAGGCCCCCCCCACCCCCAGCCCTCATCCCACTGCCCCCCATCCATGAATTTCATGCACCAGGCCTCTAGTAATGAAATAAATTTAAAGAAAAGAAAAACAGATATTGCCTTGCCTTTGTTCCAAACCAACATCAATGTACACAGTTAACAGCTGTCCTCCCAGCACATAGCCAACAGCAGGGCCTAATATTGACATAGAATAGCCAATTCCTAGAAGGACAAAGACAAGGAAAATTGCTGTCTGTAGTTTGCTTTAAATGTCTAACAATAGTAAAGAAACAAATATTTTACTGTAGAAAAATCAAAATGGTTAGAATTACATGAAAATTACACATGTTAGCCCTAGCTGGTTTGGCTTAGTGGACAGAGCCTCAGCCTGTGGTTTGATTCCTGGGTTTGATTCCCGCCAAGGGCACATAGCTTGGTTGCAGGTTCCTCCCCAGCCCGGACCCTGGTCAGGGTACGTGCAGGAAGAAACCAATCAATGTGTTTCTCTCACATCAATGTTTCTTCCAGTCTTCCCCTCTCTCTTCTCCACTCTCTCTAAAAGATCAATGGAAAAATATCCTCAGCTGAGGATTAACCAAAAAAAGAAACAAAAAAAGAAAATTACGCATATTTTCACTAAAAAAAAATATGTGATATTGAATGGTATCACTTGTAAAATCCAGGAGCTTAAATTATATAATTGAAAAGCTGTTACACTATAATAATAATAATTGTGATAATAACAATTGCAATAAATCCAGTTATTATAAATCCATGGAGGGTTATATCTTTAACTGGTGGCAGAGGTAGTGCATCGACTATTATCCTTTACAGATGGTTGTAGAAATTACTGTTTACAATCCTTATGGAAAATATATAAAAGTAAAAGCCTTTTCTACTCTGTACACACTACAAAAGCCTTCTTTATTTTATATGACAGCAGCTGATAAAAACCTGGATCTGGTCATTAGTCTGTTTCTTAAAAAATAAGCAATTCATTTAGCCATATGCTTTTAGTGAATCTTCCATTTTTACTTGCAGCAAAATTAAACTGACCTTATTTCTCTCAGATATGTAAAAATTCATCACATGTAACATTTTAACTTTGCAAATTAAGTCCTCACCAAACTCTGAATCAGTGGGTACCCTGATCTTGGGCTTTCCAGCCTCCATGAGTTTTAAGAAATAAATGTATGTTGTCTATAAGCTAACCAGTCTATGTTATTCTATTATAGCAGTATCAATGGATTAAGATAGTTTTCTACATTAGAATAATAAATTGATAAAGTAAAAACTCATGTGCAAATAAATTGCATATTAATTGGCTATAGGGCCATGGATTGGATGCAGGGCCATGTATCAGGAAAGAAATTTGAGAGAAATTTATGCTACCAGAAAATCAGATCACAAAGCTGGGGGGTTGGGGATCAAGTTATATATCAAAAGGGTTAATCTGAAGTGGAAACTCCACAGAGCTTCTGGGCACTTGTGTTTTCTTTTGTTGACTTTAGTCAATAGGATGTAGTAAGTCCCATAGAATGGCAGAGCTCGATCTCCACATCCTGTGTAAATCAGCCTGGAATTCAAACAGTCTACAGAGTCTACTGCTTGAATGGCACTTCCAGGAAGGCTGGCATGCCCACTATAAGAAATAGTGCAGGACATTCAACGAAATTCAATGGAAAGACATATTATGTCAGTAAATAATAAAACAAAAAAAAAAGCAATATTGCATGTATCTCATAGATACTCTTTACGACATTACAACTAATTTTAAATAAGCATATGTTATGTATTACTTATTAATTTAAACATCAATCAGATGAAATGATACCCAGACATTCATATTTCAGAGCAAACTTACCTATATAGAGAGAAGATTTGTGTGTGGGCACAGAATCATCAAGAAAGGCTGTTCCCAGGGTATAGAGGGGAGTTCCTCCTGCTCCCAGCAACAGTTGTCCCAAGATGAAGACGTACAAGAAGTTGGAAAGTGAAGAACTTGAAGAGGTACAACCGGTTCTATTCCTTGCTATTATGCAAGTATCTTTAGGGGGAGAAAAATAAAATTGTGAACATAAAGATATTCAGAGAAAGACAAACACCATATGATTTTACTTATAATTTCATGAACAAAATAAATTAACAAACATAATAGAAACAGACCCATAGAGACAGAAAACAGACTGACAGTTGAAAGAGGGGAAGGAGTTGAGGGGCTGGGTGAAAAAGGTGAAGGGATTAAGAAAAAAACTTATGGTGATCATCAGAGGAAAGGGGGAGTAGGGGGAGGCAGAAGAGGGCATAAATGGTGACAGAAAGATACTTGACTTGGGGTGGTAAATACACAAAACAATATACAGATGATGTATTATAGAATTGTACACTTGAAACCTACATAATTTTATTAACCAATGTCACCCCAATAAATGCAATAAACGAATAAATGAGCACAGAAAAAAAATCTATAAAAAAAGAAATTCAGCTAATAATTTAAATATTTATCTTGGAGAAATGGTTGATTCTAGGACTGGGCAAGAATTACACAGGATGAGCCTGGATCGTCTCATAGTGCCAACAAGTAAAGAAGTGTTAAAAACAAACAAAACCCCACAGTGATGGAGGTCTGTCAAAGGGACACATGAGCCAACTGAAAGGATTCTGATAGCCAAAGCTGGAATAATTTGAGCAACAAAATAAAGTATTGTTGGAATACTGTGTGTGTGTGTGTGTGTGTGTGTGTGTGTGTGTGTGTGTGTGTGTAATATCCACACTGAAAATCAAAAGGCTAAATAAACAAATGTGGGAAGAAAAGACACATCTTTAGTTCAGAAGCATGTCTAGTAATTTATGTCAATAGTCTACCCTCAAAGAGGTGGAACATAACACCCCCCCACTTCTAAAGTGTGGGTGCACATAGTGACTTTCTTCCAAAGAGTACGTATGGGAGGCAAGAACAAAAAGAGCGACTTCGCAGTGTATTAACCCGAAAAACAGGACCTCCGTCAGGTGATCAAGATCATCATCAAGAGTGGAAAGTGACGTTGAGAGAATATACCCTTGATATGATGTGATGAAAAGGGCATTCTGCCTGTGTGGTCCTCTCCTAAAAGAACTCATAACCCAGTCTAATCACCAGGAAAACACCAGGTAAATCTCAGTTGAAGGATATTCTATATCTGACTAGCACTTCTCAAAACTGCCAACGTCACCGGAAATAAAAAGGGAAATATCTGAGAAATCATCATAGCCAAGAGGAGCCAATTGAGCATGACAACTAAATGTTACACAGTGCCCTCGGTCAGACTCTGGAACAGAAAAGAACATTAGATAAAAATTAAGGAAATGTGAATAATGTATGCACTTCAGTTAATAATTACAAACACTAATGGATGACATAACAACATTAGTTCATTAATCATAAGAAATGTAGCATATAAAGTAAATAATAGGGGGAAATGGAAACTACTATCTTCACAATTTTTCTGTAAATCTAAAATTGTTCTGAAAATCAAGTTTATTAAAATTTTTTAAAGTACAGAATAAAACAACCCATTATAAATACAGGTTTAAACTTTCATAAAAATTGATAGTAAATAAATAAATCATGAAAATATATAACAGCAATTTTAGTTAAGCAGATTCCACCAGAAGATGCAAGAATAAACAGAAAAAGTTAAAACACAGAATTTAATTTTCATCTTTCTCAGGTTCAAGAGCACAAATTGTTAAAAATAGGCAAGGAAAGAGAAAACCTGAACAATATAATTAGTAGCATTGAATTTAGGAAAGCATGTCAAATCCATTCTCTGACAAAATTGTGCCTTCCATATTTAGGTCTCATGGACAAGTGTAAGAAACACTAACCAAAATATTACAATGCAAAAATATCTATATATATTCCAAAGAGTAAATGACAATAAAATATATGCTCAAAATAAAACAAAACTAGAAACTTCTAGGCCCTTCAATCTAAAATTCAAAAAAATTTAAAACTCTATTAAAAGTATTATTAGATCAAAAAACTTTGGAATTGCAAAGTTTCTTGAAATGATACTAGAAACAATGCACATCAAAAATTATATGATAAAACTACTATAATACTAACAAGAAAGCATCTTATTCAAACAGAAAAAACATACCAGAAATAATGAAATCAAAATTTAAAATATATAAAAAGAAATCACACATTAATGAGCTGCTCCCAACACTACCACCACTGCAGCTAGATGAGGTTATTATAGAAAAGTCTATAGAGAAAATAACATACAAAAGAATACCTAAAAAAACAGTAATGAAAGAGGCAAGCAATTAAGAGGCCTCCCTAATTAAAACAAAGAATTAACAAATAAACAGAAATCTGATTAATAGGATAAAAAAATATTATAATTAACAAAAAGTAATTTGAAATAATCCATAAAATATGCCAGTGGCTAACATAATGAAAAAGAAGAAATTATATATGTATACAAATAATACATGAAAAAAGGAAATAAACTCTAAAGAGAGGAAATTTTTTTAAAAATCACAAGAGATTACTTAGAGCAGATTTCTAGCAAATAAATTTGAAAATCTAAAATGACTGAATTCTCAAGCCCATAGTTCAGAGATTGCTGGAGACCAATTCCAGCATGTCATAATTTCAAGAGTTTCATCAAAGGTTGATGAGACTTGGGGACTCAACAGGGTTGAGTCACACATGTAGTCACCTGTTGGGAATGGCTGAAGGCATTTCCCCAAACCTGAAAGGGATTATTGTTTGGCTGCCAGACAGCTAAAAGGACATCTTAAGCTACATGCTATTGCCTCCTACTGGCCAAACACCTGAACAGCCATAGGCTAATTCCCCATTCTGACAATGGACTCTGTACTGAAACCCTGACCCTTTGAACTGTATATCTCTGCCTTGCCTCAGGACAAATTGTGTTAATAAAAAGCATGGGGTCCTGGGGGGAGGAGACCTGAGAACCTAAGACCTTAGACTTTAAGACCTGAGAATTTAGATCTTGGATCTTAGCTCCTTTAGCTAGGCTCCTCTGACCCCCAAATGCCTTTCAAAATTATACTTCATCTCTGGACTCTTATTTAAAATCTACGCACAGCCTTCTCTAGATTCCTGAACCCTTCTTGATGCTGGGACAAGAACACCAACAAGAGATGAATTTTCCCAATATTTTAAACATTAAATAATAATGACAATAATCATATTAGTATACTAGTTGATGCTACTTAAAACTATTCCAGAACATAGAAAAAGGGTTTAAAAGTACCAAAATATTTTTATGAATTGAATACAAATTGACACCAGCAGGTGAAAAAGTTTAACAACAAAAGAAAAATACAGCAGGACTTTATATGTATACATTAATTTCAGAGAGGAAGGGAAAGAGAGAAACATCAATGATGAGAGAATCATTGGTGGGATGCCTCTTTTTTAAAAAAATATATATTTTATTGATTTTTTTACAGAGAGGAAGGGAGAGGGATAGACAATTAGAAACATCGATGACAGAGAAACATCTATCAGCTGCCTCCTGCACACCCCCCACTGGGGATGTGCCTGCAACCAAGGTACATGCCCTTGAGCAGAATTGAACCTGGGACCCTTCAGTCCCGGACGCTCTATCCACTGAACCAAACCGGTTAGGGCAATGGGATGCCTCTTGCACGCCCCTACTAGGAATAGAGCCAGCAACCTGGGCATGTGCCCAGACCAGGAATTGAACCGTGACTTCTTGGTTCATGGGTTGACTCAACCACTTAGCAACACCAGCCAGGCTCCTCTACAAGTTTTCAATAATGTATTCGAGGGAAAGAGAAAGGAACTAGAGGCTTACGAATTGAAAATGAAGAGGTAAAGCTATCTCAATTTGCAGAAGTTTTAATTGTCTTTCTGGAACACTGAAAACAATAAATGAAAAACTATAAAAACAATAAGAGAATTTATAAAAGCAGTAAAATATAAAATTAACATACCAAAAAATCAGTAGGCTTCATATGCACAAGTTAGATGATCTGAGGGGTGGAAAAAACCAGTGTACAGTAGGAAAAATTAACTAATACGTTCAGAAATAAATGTGAAGCAAAATAAGCCAGTCAGAAAAAGTAAGTATCACATGATCTCACTCATATGTGGAATCTAATGAACAGAACAAAATAGTGAATAACATAGGATCAGAGGCATGGAAATGGAACAGGTGCACTATTCTTAGAGGGAAGGGGGCTGGGGAAGGCAGGAAGAGATTAACCAGAGATCTTAGATCAGTGATGGCGAACCTATGACACGCGTGTCAGAGGTGACACGCGAACTCATTTTTTTGGTTGATTTTTCTTTGTTAAATGGCATTTAAATATATAAAATAAATATCAAAAATATAAGTCTTTGTTTTACTATGGTTGCAAATATCAAAAAAATTTCTATATGTGATACGGCACCAGAGTTAAGTTAGGGTTTTTCAAAATGCTGACATGCCGAGCTCAAAAGGTTCACCTTCACTGTCTTACATGCATATATGCATTACTTATGGACACAGACAATAGGGTGGAGAAGGCCTGGTGCAGGCAGGAACCAGGTGGAGAGGGGGCAATGGGAGGAAAAATGAGGGACATCTGTAATAATCTCAATAAAGATTTTTTTTTAAATCGTTAAGAAATTAATTAAAAGGGCATAGAACATCCCAGAAAATTTTGTTACAGAAAGTTCAACAATAAGACAGTCCCTTATAAAGTTACTGTATTTTCAAGATGAAGAAAAACTTATTTGAACAGTCAGGGAAAGCCACACTATGCAGATGGAAATGAAAACCACTTAGCTGACATCAGACTTCTCTACAGCAACACTAATCCCGCAAAGAAGTAAAGGAACTGCAAAAGTAACCAGTGAAAGATAGTATGACTCACACATGTTATGTTCCAACAGTCATAGAAACATAAAGGCTAACAAAAAATATTTAAATATATTTAAAATCTCATGAAATTAACTTTTCCTGGAAAAACAAAAACTATTAACTAGAGGGCGCATTTCAGAGACGCCATGGGGACCTGAAA